GAAATTTTGTGTATTTTTTTTGGCTTATTTTTGACGAAATTTTAGTTAAAACCACTTAAATCTAACGAAACACACAAATTAACATTAATTCAGTTTTTTTTTTCTAAAATACTATACTCAAAAAATGCAAAAAATAGAATTAATTTGATGAATTTATGTTTTATTTTCAACAAGATTTTGTGAAAAAAAAAAACGTTTTTGACTGAAAATGTACTTAAACACTTTGAAAAAAGCAAAAATTATGCAATTTTTGGCTTAAGTTAGTGATTTTTGGTCAATTTTAGTGTAATCTCAAAAAAAAAACTAAAAATTTTGTTCGAGAACGCTATTTTAGAACAAATTTTGTGTTTTTTCGACTTATTTTATTATTTTTTAAATTTTACTCAAAACAAGCTAAATCGAACGAAACATTTTCACTCTTTTGGACTTTTTTCTTTTTGTCAACAGTAAACAGCATTTTGAGACAGATACTACATAATTTTAACTTATTTTGTTGTAGTATTTTTTTTAAATAAAAAAGAAATTTCTATTATGGAACGTATAAAAAATCAGTTAATGTATGTTTCGAATTGCTAGAATAGAAATTCATGTGTTAGCTAACTGATATTTAACAGATGGGTCAACGGCATTTTGAAACAGATACTACATGATTTAACATTATTTTGCTATAATTATTTTCAGTTAGTTGAGTAACAGTGATTCAATTATTCATTTATGATGAAACAAATTAATTAAAAATCAGCTAATGTATGTTTCGAATTGACTGTGTATAACCCAAAAATTAATTTTTCAAGTGTGAAAAGCATTTTTAAACAGATACTACGCAGCTTTAACTAATTATTTTCTCATAAATATGAGATTTTGATATGTATAAAAAATCAGTTATTGTATGTTTCGAATTAAGCGTCAAGGGCATTTTGAGACAGATACTACATAATTTGAATTGATTTTGTTGAAGTTATTTTCTGTTAAATAACAAAATTTCAATTAATAAGTCAGTAAAAATTAATTAAAAGTCGGCTAATGTATGTTTCGAATTGCCAGGGCATACAAATACTACATAATTTTGAGTTATTTTAAATCAATTACGTCTCTTGAAATTTTAATTAATAGAAAAAATATATCTTATCGTCTGACAACAAGATATTATCTCAACACTTTAAGAAAAAATATAACCGTTTTTCTACCTATATATTAAACCGATTTGTAAACATTCTAGATTAGAAACAGTCAATAACTAAATCGATAAGATAATTCGTATTTCGAGTAAGAAATTTCTACAAATTCCCAATTACGGTAGCGCGAAAAATGATCAGAAATCGTGGTAAGTACGAATTTATTACTCAATTAATGAAATAATTTCACAAAGAGAAAAAAATTCTAATTTTGATAACACGTGTGTAAAAACCTTATCATATTATTTTTCCAGGTGATAAAATGATTGTATTGATTCTAATTTTGGAAGTGGTGACCCGAGTCCAAGGGGGCTGCCCTACTCGTTGCACTTGCACCCAAAACTCGCTAACTTGCGTCCAATCGAGTCTAGAATCGGTCCCTTATTTCGACAGTTTGGCCAACACCCCCGTCATAATCGACCTCTCAGGCAACCCCATAACATACATCGAAATCGACGATTTCAGTTTCGATAAAAGCCACCAAGTCAAGGAGATTTACTTAAATAGCACCTCGTTGACCATCATCGACGAGCACGCCTTCGACGAGCTCGAAAACTTGCAAGAACTCTACTTAAACGATAATTTACTCCACTATTTCCCCGATGAAATGATCAAAAAGAACGAAAATATGGTGTTGTTGGATTTGTCGAGTAATTATTTCAGTGAAATGCCGAGGATTCAGTCGGGGAGTTTGGAGGTTTTGGCAATTGCGAATTCGCGAATTGAGGGGATTAGTGAGGGGGCTTTGGACGGGCTACCAAATTTGCGAATTTTGCTCTTGCAACAGAATAATTTGAAGAGTGTTAATCCGGGGATTTTCTCAAAGATGAGTAATTTGTTTTTTGTGAGGCTTGCCTATAATCCGTGGTTGTGTGATTGCAAAACTGTGGAGTTGTTTGAGTTTTTGGTAAAGAAGCGGTTTGTTGATAACACCGAAACGATTCAGTGTCTGAATGAAGAGAAAATTTTCGTGGAAATCCCCGAAAAATGCACCGATTTTAACAATACTAAACCTCGGAATGAAACTGAAGAATTTGATGGTGATTTTTATTACGTTTTGGTTCTGTTCGTTGCAATTTTTTCGAGTTTGGTTTTGGGGGCGATTTGTGGTACTTGTCTCACTTATAAATTTCTGACAAGGAGTGTAAAAATCACCGAAAGCAAAAAAACACTACTCTAACTCACATTTTTCTATATTTTGATATTTTTCTAACTGTTTTAAGTTATGTAAATAAACAATTTCTACTATTGCTATTTATTGACTAAATCGTTACAAATTATTGATCATTTTCGAAATCAGCTGGATTTTTCCTCATTAGTCTTTGGTGTTCTTTTTCAACTTGGTCGTAAACCACGTAACCAAGAAGGAGGGCTGAAAAATAACCATTACACAATTTTTTTTACTAAATTTACACTTACGTGGAACTACGTATAAAAATTCTTCTTTAATACGTCTCAAAGTGTTTGGGACACCGTGTGAAAAAATGCCAGAGAAGGCCTTGAGTTCAAAGGGCGATAATCGGTAAGTGATGATTCCTCGGAGTTTATATAACTGCCCGAAACCGTGCCCCATCTGAAAGTGAGGTTATATTACATAATCACTTGAATTTGTACTAATTAACTGAACTATTTGGGGGAACAATGAAAAAATGAGGGAAAAAGTGGTCAATTTTATGAAATTCTTACTTTGAGTGATCAATCAAGTTGGCGAAATTACGATGAATTAACCTCGAACTGTCACTTTGACAACTGACAGCGGACAGTGGCCAATTAAATGACACTACTATGGCGGGTATTTTGGATTTCGAAAAGTTCAAAAAAAAAATTGGATTTATATTTTTTCTTATTTTGGTTCATTTACCGAAAAACTCATAAAATTCGAAAGATATTGTCAAAAAAATTGCACAATTTTGTCGAAAATGATTTATTTTCTGTTTTGCTAGTGTTTTTTTCTAACAAAAAAATTTAAGAAATCTTGTCAAATGTATAGAATTGCAAAATTACTTCTCAAAATGCGATTTTTCATTAAGAAACTTACTAAACTTCTAAATTTCAAGTTTTTTGCCAAAATAAGTTAAAAAAAATTGAAATTTAGACCAAAATATCCAAAAAATGTCCCAAAATTAGAATGGTTTTGTCAAAAAATTGAACAATTTTATCGAAAAATTACAAGATTTATGAAATCTTGTCCAAAACAAAGTAGAAAATTGCAAAATTAAATCTTGAAACGCGTTATTTTCGCATGTTTTTATAAATTTGGAGCATTTTTCACTAGAAACATACTAAAATTTCAATTTTTTTGTCAAAATTTCTATTAATTTAAGAAAAAAAAAATCAAGTTGGCGAAATTACTCAGATTACTCACTTTGACAACTGACAGCAGACAATGGCCAATTATGACAATGGTATTTTTGATTTCTAAAAGGTAAAAAAAATGCAAAAATTTGGAATATTTTGGTAAATTAAGACAGAAAAATGCAAAGATTAATCTGAAATGTGTTATTTTTTTTTATTTGGGTTCATTTAGAGCGTTTTTTATTGAAAAACTCACAAAATTCGAAATTTTTCACCAAAAAATTTCACAATTTTGTCGAAAAAGATTTATTTCCTGTGAATTTGCAAGTGTTTTTTTCTAACAAAATCAAAAAATTTAAGAAATCTTGTCAAAACAAAGTATAGAATTGCAAAATTAGTTCTCAAAATGCATATTTTTTATAAATTTAGAGCATTTTTTACCGAGAAACTTACTAAATTTTAAGTTTTTTGCCAAAATAAGCTAGAAAATTTTGAAATTTGGTCCAAAATGTCCAAAAAATGTCACAAAAATTGAATGAATTTGACAAGAAAATACACAATTTTGTCGAAAAGTCACAAAATTTAAGAATTCTTGTCAAAACAAGGTTAAAAGTTATAAAAATGCAAAAAAATCTAGATTTTGATAAATTAAGACAGAAAATTGCAAATATTAATGTGTATTATGTTATTTTTCCTTATTTGGTTTTATTTATAGCGTTTTTTAATCGAAAAACTCAAAAAATTCGAAAGATTTTACCAAAAAATTGCACAATTTTGTCGAAAATGATTTATTTCCTCTAAAGCTAGTGTTTTTTTTTCCAACAAAGTCAAAATATTTAAGAAATCTTGTCAAAATACAGAATAGAATTACAAAATTAGTTCTCAAAATGCTATATTTTTGTATATTTTTATAAATTCAGAGCATTTTTTTCACCGAGAAACTTACTAAATGTCTAGTTTTTTGCCAAAATAAGTTAGAAAAATTTGAAATTTAGACCAAAATGTCCCAAGGAATTCGAATGATTTTGACAAAAAATTGCACATTTTTGTCGAAAATGCGTTAGTTTCCAAGAATTTTCACCAACAAAGTCACACAATTTCCAAAATCTTGTCAAAACAAAATAGAAAATTGCAAAATTAGATCTCGAAATGCATGTTTTTATAAATTTAGAGGATTTTAAAAATTTTGTCAAAATAAGTTACAAATTTCAAATTTTGCTCCAAAACTTGTTAATTTCCATCAATTTAAGAAATAAAAAGTATCAAAACTTGATTTTTTTGTTTTTTCCACCTCACACGAGTCGCACATGTGTGTGGATTTGTAATTGCTATAGAAACGTGCTGAAGTTTGTGCATAACCATGGTAACAAAAAGGTGCAAAAGTAAGAATTGCCATAGCAACAATAAGAAAATTGAAACCAGTGGCGGGTATTTTTGTTTTATTCAAAAATAAATTGAAACAAATAATTTATTTAAAATTCCACGTGAAACGGGTAGTATTTGTGGTCGACAAAGGCCGAAAAAGCGCAAATCCTCTGATTCCGGTTACACGAATCCAAATATTCCACATCTTGTGAATCAAGTTGAAAGTCAAAAATGTCAATATGTTCCCTAATTCTGAACTGATTGCTACATCTCGTGACCACACAAATACCTAACGAAATCTAGAAAATAAAAAAGTTTGGTGTTTTTTCCCGTTTTGTTTTCTTATTACTAAATAATTTAAGACGACTTGAGCGGCGGTTTTTCGATGTTTCCGTGCAATTTCGTCGATTTTCTCATCACAAATCGTAGGTTCTGGGAAATTGGGGACTCCACCCATTTCATTAATCCCCAAGGGGCAGTATCCCGTGACTAAAATATTGCGTTGGGTGCAAAATTCTATAATTTTTTTCTGGTTTAGACGCGGATGGACTTCGATATGGTTCACAGTGGGTTTAATATTGGCGTTTTTGAGAATTCTGGTGATTTGTTCGCTGTTAAAATTCGCTAAACCGATACTTCTTGTGTAACCCTGGTAGACGCAATCCTCCATTCCTTGCCAAGTTTCAACATAATCGACGTCACTGTACGCACTAGGCCCTTCGTTCAAGGGCAAAGAATTCGCATTGACCTTAAAAAAAATCACAAATTCGAAAAAAAAATTTTTTTACTTTACCTTGAACCCCAAAGGCCAATGAATCAAATACAAATCGACATAACAAAATTTCATTTCTTGCAAAGATTCACGCAATTTCTCCACCACGTCTTTGCGTTGGTGGTAATTGTTCCACAGTTTCGTCGTTATGTAAACATCTTCACGTTTGATGACGCCTTCTTTGATTTTCTCATGGATTGCTTTGGCTACTGCGGCTTCAGTACCGTAAATCCACGCACAATCAAAGTGCCGATAACCGGCGTCGATGGCCAGTTTTACCACTTGGTGGATTTCCGAGGCGTGAACGAGCTTAAAAAACGATGAAAAATTTGGTATTTTTGATCAAAAACTCACCTTGTGGATTCCTAAGCCGATCAAGGGGATCGAATAGCCGTTGTTGAGACTTCGAGACATTTTTTAGCATTTTTTCACGGTCAAGGATGTTTCAAAAATAATCATCTTGTGATAACTTTTATCATTTTTAATCAATTGTGAATTTTGATAAATATTACTTAGTCACGGTGAGGAAAATACAATGAGATCTTATCAGGACAGATTATTATTTAACTTTTAACAACACCTGCATTTGAATTAAAAACTATTAAAAATTTTTTACTTTTTTTTGGAAAACCCGCTATAAAAAAATCGTCTACTTTGATGAATTCCCCGAGAATTTTGTCAAAAGCAAACAGAAAATCACAAAATTAGATCTAGAAGTGCGTTGTTTTCGCTTGTTATTGAATTCGGAATTTTTTGTCAACTCAAGGTAGAAAGTGTTTCACTAAAAAATTCACAAAATTCTGATTAGTAGCAGAAAATTAGGCACTTATTTCGACAAAAAATACAATTTTAAACCATATTTTTTTTAACCCTTTTTTCCATGCTAGACGAGTCGCTAATGTATGTATTTAGCTTCGTCTAATTGCTATAGAAATGCGTAAAACTTTGTATGCAACCATAGTAACAATAAAGGTGTAAAAGTAACAGTTGTCATAGCAACAATAAGAAAATTCAAACCAGTGGCGGGTAAATCTCAAAAATTTATTAAAAATGTGCAATTTCTTATGAATTTTATTATTGAGAAATTTAGAAAATCATGATTACAGTTTTCACAAAATTTTATTAGATTTAGAACGTTTTTCAGCGCAAAAATCACCAAATTTTGGATATCTTGCCAAAACTAAGCATACAATTAGGTCCCTTATTTCAATAGATATATGAAAAAAATACAATTTTAGACCATGTATGTGAATATAGGTACTTTTTTCTAAAAAGCCCCTTTTCCATGCTAGACGAGTCGCTAATGTGTTTAGCTTCGTCTAACTATGCTATAAAAACGTATAAAAGTTTGTATGTAGCTATAGTAATAGTAAAGGTGCAAAAGTAACAGTTGTTATAGCAACAATAAGAAAATTCAAACCAGTGGCGGGTAATCTCAAAAATTTATCAAAAATGTATAAATTTTTCATTGAGAAATTCACAAAATTCTGATTAGTGTTCCAAAACAAAACAGAAAATTGCAATANCAATAACTTTTTTTTTGATTATTTTATTAAATTTTTTTCAGCGTAAAATTCACGAAATTTTGGATATTTTGCCAAAAATAAGCATAAAATGTATTATTTTCCTTCATAGATATGTGAAAAAATACAATTTTAAAGTTTTAAACCATGTATAGAATATATATATTTTTAAAAACCCTTTTTCCATGGTAGACGAGTCACTAATGCGTGTAGCTTCATCTAGTTGCTATAAAATGTGCAGAAGTTTGTATGTAACCATGACAACAGAACTATTTGTCATGGTAACGAAAAATGAAACCAGTGGCGGGTATTATATTTCATTAAAATCTTCTATTTTTATTTAAACAATTTAATTGGTGTTCATTTTCTGAAATAATTGTCGTTTTCTGATGAAGAATTAATTAATTAATTAGTTTAAGTGTGAAAAAGTTTATTTTTTTCAAAAACTATAATATTTGTGTGCAGAAAATTCGCTCAAAAAACACATCCAATGACAAAACCGTGGCGGGTATTTTGGATTTTGAAAAATGCAAAAAATATTTTGGTAAATTAAGACAGAAAATTGCAAAGACGAATTCTGAAATGTGTTATTTTTTCTTATTTGGGTTCATTTAGAAAGTTTTTTTAACGAAAAACTCACAAAATTCGAAAGATTTCGTCAAAAAACTACACAATTTTGTCGACAATGATTTATTTGCTGTGAATTTACAAGTATTTTTTTCTAACAAAGTCAAAAAATTTAAGAAATCTTGTCAAAATAAAGTATAGAAAAAGTTCTCAAATGCGGTATTTTCGTATATTTTTATAAATTTAAAGCATTTTTCACCGAGTTTTTTACCAAAATAAGTCACTAAAGGCCTAAAAAATGTCAAAAAATTCAAATAATTTTGTCAAAAAATTGCACTATTTTGTCGTTTCTGTGAATTTTCACCAACAAAGTCACATAATTTAAAAAATAAGATAGAAAATTGCAAAATTAGATCTTGAAATGCATATTTCTATAATTTTAGAGCATTTTTCACTAAGTTTCAATTTTTTTGTCATAATAAAAATATTTTTTTCTTTTATTAATAATGTAATTTCTCTGGTGCAGAATTCGTTTGAAAAAATAAAACAATGAGATAATTATTTCTTTATTTAAGTGTGAAAAACATGGTTTTTTTTTCAAAAACTGTAATATTTGTGTGCGGAAAACTCGCTCAACGGACACACCCTTTGATTCTTGTTGCACGAATCCAAGTAGGCGACATCACCCTCATCCAATTTAAAATCAAAAATGTTGATATTTTCGACAATTCGTGATTTGGTGACAGATTTCGGGACGACACTAATCCCCAAAGAAACCTAAAAAAACGTTAAATTCCCCCAAAACTGTCAATTTTTTTTTACCAAATAATTCAAGACGATTTGTGCCGGCGTTTTGTTGTATTTCTTGGCCATTTCGACGACTTTCGGATCGAAAATTGTGGGATGTGGGAATCCCGGAGTTCCGGCATATTCGCTACGTCCTAAAGGACAATAACCTGTAATGACAATATCGCGTTGTTTGCAAAATTCGATCAATTTTTTTTGGTTTAAATTCGGATTGACTTCAACTTGGTTAACAACCGGTTTGATTTGACAATTTTTGAGAAGACGATCGATTTGTTCTTCGTTGAAATTCGAAACTCCGATGCTTTTTGTGAGCCCGAGTTGTACACATTTTTCCATTCCTTCCCACGTTTCCAGATAGTCGATGTCGCTGAAAGCGGCTTCGCCTTCGTTTATTGGCCATAAAGACGCACTTTCCTGTTTTAAAAAATAATTAAAACGCGATTTTTACGTAAAAAGAGTGACCTTGAATCCGAAAGGCCAATGCACAAGATACAAATCGATGTAAGCCAGTTTTAAACTGCTCAAAGTTTCCTTACACATTGGAACTACTTTATCTCTCGCATGGAAATTGTTCCACAACTACAAATTGCATTTATTCGATTTTTCACACAAAATTCGATTATTACTTTGCTTGTAATGAATAAATCTTCTCGTTTGACAACACCTTGTTGTATTTTTTCATTAAGTGCAACGCCAACTTCATCCTCATTGCCATAAAACCAAGCACAATCGAAATGACGATAACCGGCATCAATGGCATCCGAAACGGCCCTTTTTACTTCACCTTTTCCCGACTAAAATCGAAGAAAAATTCGAGTTTGGCACAAAATTTATTGAGGTCACCTTGTATGTTCCCAAACCCACGACGGGAATCTCAAGGCCGTTGTTGAGTTTCAACGTTTTACTACTCATTTTTGTGTTTCTTGCACCAAATTAGTTATTACCACATCAGAAATTGTTAAAATTTACCTGGAATCAATTTGACGTTCACCGGAGTTTATCACTTGTCAGTTGTCAAAATCACGTGATCTGTCAAGGACGGTTTTCAAGCCAGTGGCGGGTATTATTTTACAAAATGAGGTTATTTTAACTATTATAAGCATTACGATTTATTTAGTTTTTTTACATATAGGTTAGATATAATATAGTTATACAGGATGTTCCGTCCAAACCCCACATTAAAAGTATTGGGAGTTTGAATAATCATATTTGTTTGAAAATTGGTACATAGTCATAATGCATTAAGTCCTCCTAAATGAAAATATTTTCAAATTTTTGGATCTGCACCTTACACTTTAAGAATCGGTAACTCTGCTATTTTTTTAAATTTTAAATTCGTTTTTTTGGCGTTTGAAAGAGAAAGTTTAGATCTTTCTTCCGGTGTTTTCAAATTTTGAAAAAAAAATTAACAAACCCTAAAATTTTAAGGTTACTCTTATAATATTCAAGTGAAATACCCCAATTTTTATTTTACTAAATAGAAGAGAATTTAATTCTGCATCGATCTGTATTAAAATTCCCTATACCTAAATTTAATAATTTGGTCAAAACACAAATAAGAAAAAAAACATTTTTTTGTTCTTTTCTGTTACTATTTATTTAAATTTGAGAGAAATTTGCCCAAACAACGCAAACAATTTCAAAAGTGAAATGCGTTATTTTTGTTTCTTTTTAAAAATTTAAAGCATTTTTTACATAGAAATTCACAAAATTCGAGAAGTTAACTAAAACAATGCAGAAAATTGCGAAACTAAATTTAGAAATGGGTTTTTTTCTTATTTTTGGAAATCCAAACCGTTTTTTTTTAATTTTATTGAAATTGAAAAATATCGTTAAAAGATCAAAAATTGCAAAATTAGGTGAAACATTTGTTTTTTTTTATTAAGTTTTGGAGTGTTATAAACAATTCCTAGAAAGTTTGTCAAAGCAAAAAAGAAAATTCTAAAAGTATGTCTAAAATAGCTTAATTTTAATTATTTCGACAAATTTTTAGCACTTTTCATCGAAACATTTTTTTTAATTTTTCGTTTATCATTTTTTTTTTCTTTTTCCCTCTATTCTTTTCGCTATTTAAGTAAATTAAAAAAAAATTGCCAAAACAAACTTTGAATGCAACAGAATTAGAAAATATAAAAATTTAAAAGTAAAATTAGGTAAAACCAAAAAATTGGAGGAAAACAAGGAAAAAAATAAGTACTCGTAAATAAACAGAAGTAGAAAGAAACCTAGAAAATAATATAATAAAAACATGCATTTTAAAAAGCTAAACTCTATTAAAAAATTGCAACCATAAAAAAATTTCAGAGTAGGTACAAAAAAAACATTTTTTTGATTTATCGTTAATATAATAAAATTAGGTAAATATTAGAGATATTAAAAAAGAAAGAGAAACTAAAACAATGATCAAAATTGGTAAGAAAAAGAAAAAGAAGAATAAGGCAAAACCAAAAAAAAAAACACATTTAACAAAAAGCATAGATTTTTGTGATGAAAAACCCGAAAAATCATGTTTTTCAAGAAACCTTAATAAAAAAGGGCAATCATTAATTTTCTCAATTAATTAATCTTAATTTAACAAAAAAAGTTAATTTTTGTGACCAAAATCCCAAAAAAAATCAAAGAAAAACCAATTTACAAAAAAAACATTACTCTTAATTATTCTCTTCTCTTAATGTTCAAAAGTCTCAATTGGTTTTCAAAATTTAGCAAAAAAAGTAGATTTTTGTGATCAAAAACTCAAGAAGTCATGTTTCTTGAAAAAAGGACAATTTTTAAAAAAATTTAGGTCTACCTTTTTTCTCTTAATTCAAAAT